ACCAGTCTCTCTTCCTTTGCAGGTGTATGCTCGTTGTCCTCGCTCTCATCACCCTGCTGATATCCCCTCTACCTCAGGCGATGCAGGTAATACTTCTCAGTTTGTTGAGCATATTGATGCACCTGTTGTTAGTACTGATGAGATTACAGGTGCTGAGCCAGTTACTTTACCTGATAAGATATTATCAGTAGAGGATGGTGATTTAGGGCGTCGTTATCCAAGGCGTGATCGCCGTCCAGTTGATCGATATGGTTGGACCGCCAAGATTTTATATCCGATCTCTGCTTATGTTTCTTATGGTAATCTGTCTCCCACATTTCGAGCTTATACTATGGCCTTATCAGATACGCTGGTTCCTCGCTCTATTTCGGAAGCTATGCGGGAGCCCCAGTGGGTTCTTGCCATGCAGACAGAGATGGACGCTCTTCAGCGTAATCATACATGGGATCTTGTCTCCTTACCTTCAGGGGTGAAGCCTGTTGGCTGTCGCTGGGTTTACACCCTGAAGTTTCTGGCAGATGGTACTATTGATCGTTACAAGGCTAGACTTGTGGCGAAGGGCTTTACTCAGGTACCAGGTCGTGATTTTGGTGCTACATTTGCCCCCGTGGCAAAATTGACTACTGTTCGGTTAATTATTTCTCTGGCTGCGGAGTACTCTTGGCCTCTTCATCAATTAGATGTGAAGAATGCGTTTCTTCACGGTGATCTGGACGAGATTATTTATATGGATGCACCACCGGGCTTTCGTGGTGAGGGGGAGTATGCTGGAAAGGTATGTCGACTGCGTAAGTCTCTTTATGGACTGAAACAGTCGCCACGAGCCTGGTTCTCTCGCTTCAGTGATGTAGTCATACGATTGGGGTTCACCAGGTGTCATTCTGATCATACCTGCTTTATTCGACGGAATACTTCTGGACAGTGTGTCATCCTTCTGGTATATGTTGATGATATTATTATTACTGGTGATGATGTTTCTGGGACTGCGCAGGTCAAGATAGACCTTGGGAAGGCCTTCGATGTGAAGGATCTTGGATTTCTGCGATACTTTCTTGGGATTGAGGTTGCCCGTAGAAGCAGAGGTATTGTTCTTTCTCAGAGAAAGTATGTTTTGGATCTTCTTTCAGACACTGGGATGTTGGGGTGCAAACCGGCATCATCACCTATGATTCCAAACCTGAAGCTTACTGCTGAAGGTGAGGAGTTGAAAGATCCGACAGTTTATCAAAGATTGGTAGGTAGACTTATCTACTTAGCCAATACTAGACCGGACATTTCATTCGCAGTCAGTCGAGTTAGTCAGTTCATGCATAGGCCATGTCAGCCTCATCTTGATGCAGTTTATCATATTCTTCGGTACCTCAAGTCTTGTCCTGGACTTGGATTGTTTTATGCATCAGGATCTCAGATCGGTTCTCTAGCCTGTTATTCAGATTCAGATTATGGGGGAGCATGTGATGGTCGATCTACTACGGGTTTCTGTGCTTTTCGAGGGACTCATCTTATCTCTTGGAAGAGCAAGAAGCAGGCAGTTGTCTCCCGCTCGTCCGCAGAGGCAGAGTATCGGGCATTGGCACTTGGCACATGTGAGATTATCTGGCTACGATCGATTCTTGACGAGTTGGGTTTTTCAGTGACCTCTCCATCCACATTATATTGTGATAATCAATCTGCTATTCAGCTCGCTTCTGACTCTGTACTACATGAGAGAACGAAGCATATAGAGATCGATGTTCACTTTCTTCGGGAGAAGGTCACCAGTGGTCTTGTTACTCCATCGTTTGTGGGGACCAGTGATCAAGTTGCGGACGTTTTTACCAAACCTGTTACTCTGTCTATTCTTCGGGACTCCATTGTCAAGCTTGGCTTAGTTGACATTTTTGCGCCTAGCTTGAGGGGGAGTGTTGGAGTATAGATAGTAGTCTAGGTCTTTTTTACCCTTACTATGATTTTTATATTTTGCCTAAACTACAAGGATATTTAAGTCACTCTGTATTATTTTTGGCTATATATACGGGACTCTACTTTGAGTTTGAGTATCCCTTTCACATATTTCAAGTGAACTAAAACTGGAAGTAAGTCATACTGGCCTTATTCAAAAGCTGAATATTGCATCAGTACGCATCTTTGAAAAAAAATTAGGAATGATATCAGCCAATAAAAAAAGAAGATAGAGATGAAGAAGAATTATGTAAATGATTATGTTAAGCTCTTCTTTAATAATTAAGCATTTAGACAAGATGATTTATTCAATATGGTATCACAGCCTAAAAATTCTGAGTTCAATTCTCACCAGACTTCTCCTTTACGAAATAGGAATAAGCCATCCAAAAAGGATTACACTTGAGGACGAGTATTAGCTAAATATTTATGTTCCACTGCCTAAATTTCTAAAGTAGATGGTTTTGCATTCTAGAACCGCCAAATGGGCCCTTAGTATCATTAAAAAGTTGATTTTGGAGTGGATGTGCTGTCTTACTTGGAGGGAAAATTAGCAGCCTCAGTTTAAAGGCTGAATTAAGTATATCTGATTTTATTCTTTAATATTTTATTTATATAAGCACTAACGAGAGTTGGTTCAATTCTTTTCTTCATTAATTTTCTTTTCTGCTTAAAATAAGTTTTTATTTTTTTATTTTTTTTATAATTTCTTAAAAGAAGTTGGCAATTAGTGTTGTGGCCCCAGATAAATCAAATGATGTAATAATGTATGTAAGTTGTTAAAGTAATTTTAGATACTCAAGTCATGCTTTCTGGCTGTTATGAAATGTTTACTGTCCTATTCTTGTTGAGTCATGTTTTCTTTTTGTTTGGTGAGTTTGTTTATGGCGTTATGTGTTTTTTTTTTTAAGGTTAATTGCACTTAAAGTTCTCAAAGTATGTGATTTGTCTCATTTTAATCCCTAATATTTCAATTTCATTATTTTAATCCCTTGAGTATTAAATATATTTTTATATGGTTTCTTAAGCAAACAACATTCAAATTGTTAATTATTTTTAATTATAAACTTGTCACATAATATTTAACTATGGGCAAAAAATTAATTTAAATAACTTTTAACCAAATTTTATCTAAATTTTGGTCAAAGAGTTAACCAATATACACAGTTTTAATCATGAATTATCTAAATTTTAGTCAAAAGTTACCCATATTACACATTTTTTGGTCAAGATTTACCCTAATTTTGGTCGAAAACTACCATAATTATTTTTTACTCATATTTAGGTATCACGTGAGTAGTTTATGATAAAAAATCGTTAGCAATTTGGATGTTGTTTACTTAAATGATCATATTAAAACATATTCAATAGATCAAAATAATGTAATTAAAGTATTTTGGACCAAAATGAGATACTCTATGTCTCCGGTGCAATTAACCCTTTCTCTTATATACAATGTAGTAAGTTTTGATTCATTGGTTACAAAGGCCTAGTTGCGCACTGGAACGGATATGGACGATATTTTTCATGTCATTAGATGTAGTTAAGTAGTGCTACCAATGGTCGTGTCATGTCTAAATTGTGTTGTATTAAAATTTGTTCAATATATATTGGACTTATTTATCGTGTGTAGTTAGATGCATGTAATGTACAAATCGTGTATAAATCATTTTAGTGGATTTGTGTCAACCCTTTATTTAAAGTGTCTAAGCTAATTCATCTCGTTTATCATCCAAATTTCTCAATTTCATGTTAGGCTTGCGGATCGGATCTAGAACTGTAGAACCAATTGTTTTATGTAGTGCAGTTAGGTACAATTTTTCTTTCCCTTTTGGTCTATGAAAATTTTAACCCAGACCTTAAGATCAACCAAACCCACTAAGAATAGGCACATTGTTGGGTCCTGAAGGACTTTTTCTTAACTCTTAACGGACGAGTTGGTAAACAGTGATATTAAGCAGTGTTGTTATCGAAATAAGAGGGGGTCTAGTTGTTGTTTGACTAAACCTCAAAAGAGATTAATATAATTTACCCCAAGTTTAACCTAAATCTTGTCCGCGATGATGGATCTAAATCCCATTTAGTAGACGTTCCTCTAAATTTTTTATTTTTCTTTTTGAGTTCTCTTGATAGAGGATCATTCATTGTGTATTTACATGGACCCATTTACGTACCACCAACTATTAATTAGTCCCCTCGAAAACTTGAATGACCTACCATTAAGAAAAATAGAGAGAAAAAAAAATAAAATGAAAGGCTTTAAATCCCATCTTGATGCAAGATCACATCTCCTGTGTCTTGTTACTACAATACGATCTCAGTTATGTTTTAGTTTTGGGTGGGGAAAATTTACCCTAGCAGGTAGCAGATAAAGTATCAAATAATTGTCGCTCTCCTAAATTTGCAAGCCCATCTACACATTGGTTCCCTTCACATAGGGTGTGCTTCATCATACTGTTAGTCTCGCTTAGTAATTTGACGCTGTTCCTTACAATAAGGTTGTTTCTGCAGCACTCATCAAAAGGTTGTGAAAGGAGCAGAAAAGCCTAACCAGTTCGGCGGTAATTGATACCGCAGAATTGCTTCTATCAAATTGGCTTCTGATTTTAGGTGTAAGCAAAATTCTCTTTTGTTTTTTAATATTTGGGCAGCAAAGCATGTACAAATCTAGACTTCTTGAGTTTGGAAGGTTTTGAAACTCCACAATTTGTAGTTTCCCAAAGTTTACTCGCAAATTTTACAAAAAAAGAAGAAGAAACTCCACAATTTTCAAAGATGACATGTAGTTTGCATATCAATAATGTAGAAATAACGGAAAAATTATTCATAAAAATATTCATTACAATGGTGATATTACATAACAATATGATGTGATATCACCTACTAATAATATTAAAATAAATAAACAAATAAACCTTACAAAAATTAATAATCAACTTGTCATGTGAGATTTATCTTGTCTATTTGAGATTTTATTATTGATTGATGATACTATATTATTATTAGTGACATAATATAATCGTTGCATTCAATATCTATTCAAAATAACAACATGAGGTCAAAACTTTTATTATATGCAATGAATTGCAAGAGAGAGAGAAAATGGAGGACAAATAAGTGGCAGAAAATAATTTTGTTCAATATCTGGAGTTTATTGCAACTGCCGAGGAACATATCTGAACAGTAACAAACGGTTTTGGAGTAATCTATGGCATGACTGCTGCATCTGCAAAAAATTCCTGTAACTCAAGACTAGATTCAACAGCATATCTAAAACACCTCACAAACATTTCAACTTCCAAAAAGACAGTCTATTCAAATGGCTACACTGTGAGGAAACAAAAGCACAAGATGAAAAGAATTGAGCGATTTGAGAAGCAAATGTTGAGCCTCAGCTCTCTGTCAGAAGGATAAAAGGCTACCGTTGATATAGCACAAAATTTACTTGATATCATGAAATGATGGCAAGACTGCGACAAGGGGATCTCCGTAACCAACGGCCTCTGCAAATAACAGAAAACAATGAGCAGAAGGTCCTTATTTAAACAAGTCATACGTCAGATGGGGTGAAAGGTAGGGCATGGCGAGTTGGGTATGTGAGGGAGGGGAGAGGTTCATGGGCACTCCTAATAAATGAAACTGTGTCTGCTTGGACCAGCTGCTTGCTAATCTTCTGTAGTAAGACTGCCTCAGGAGCGAGCCAGCTAGCCTTCATGTGTCAAGTACACATTAACCACTAAAATTCGACTTATTTCAACCAACGGTGTTTGGTAGCATATTATATCAGCTTAAGATGAATAAAGGCCATGGCTAGCCCGTGTACCAAACAGATTGACCTAAATGAGTTGGTGCCCTTAGTCAAAAGTTGAAGTTATTGTTGGATTCCATGACCAAAATGAAACAAAAATTAGGAAAACCGTTAAGACATTTAGACTAGAGGCCCAGTTGGCTTAAATTATTTCTCAATCTGGTCATAACAGCATGAAAAAAAACACACAAACTCGTGTACTGAAACATGTGTGCACTGATTACAGAAAAACATGTGCAATTGGCAGATAGAGAAAAAGACAGAGTTTGATCTCGACTAAGGGAGTTATAGAAGGGCTAGATTGGGTATATGTCTAACCCTTGACGTTATTTCCACAAAATACATGCCCTCATGTTTAAACCCACAAACTCAAGTGTACTGAAACTTATGGCCTTCTCAAAAATAGCCTTAAGATATAAAACTTTTAAATGATAATATTTGTCTATCTAAACTAGTTGCTCATTAAGATCAGCTTACGCCTGGCCAAAAAAACAAATGAAGTGGAGAAAAGATGTGTTTTACCATGAGACCTTAATATCCTGTGTAAAGCATGCCTGTGTACATGTTTCATAATGGCATTGTCTTATCACATTAACACATTCAAAACTTCCCATTTATCTGGACCATTTCAGCCATAGAAGAGATCTAAAACAATAATTCGAGAACTAAAAGATCAGACATCATACCTCCGTCTTCGAAGAGGAGCTTCAAGACTTCTCCATCCACATCTGACTGCTCAGTATAAAAAGGAAATCAAAAAAGAAACATGTGATGAGAACAATTATGATGTCAGCTGAAGCACAGAAGGAGTTTCACCTAAAAGCTTACCCTCACAGGAAGTTCAGTACCAAACTGATCCAGAAAGCCTATCACTTGTCCCTCTTTGATTACGTCACCCTAGATGTATTGGAGAAAAGCCAATTAGGATCATACATTCATGGTGAAGTAATACTTCAACAATATGTTGGATAAGAACATTAAGATGCAACTCTTTCATGTAAGTTGCGCTATCATTCTGAGTTACTACATAAGTCAAGGCCCTCATGGCAAAGCATGCCACCAAATAGTCAAAAGATTCCATCTCATACATCAATTACTTTTCAGCCGAAAAAATAAGTGCATTAAGAGTACAAGACCAATTGTAATGGCATTTAAAGTGTAGATTGGGATTCGACTCTGGAACCAACATAAAAAGATACAAATTGCTAGGTGTACCGCTTTACAAGCAGGAGGTTGCTTCTTTCCTTTAAATGTTTTGCCCCTTCGGAATGAGCCAACCTGGGAGGGAAAGATAAGTTATTTGGGCTATGTAATAGAAAGGGTACCATTCAAATAAGAAGAAACATGTCATGCAATACTTACTGTGGGGGATGAAACTAGAACATATCCACTAGATCCAGAAGCCTCCAATGCCGCTAACCTTGCTGACTTCTCCATGGAGACGTTTGTGAATGGACTGATTTTTTCTGTAGAGGATTTTGGAGGAGATGGTGGTGGGGCAGCAGGAGCTGATTGAATCATTGCCTTACTTGGAATAGGTGGCTGTGGTGTTGGAGAAAAAACAGGTGTGGGAGCTGCTATGACTCCAATGTTGCGCTTCAGATGCATTTCAAAGTCTCCAACCTTTTACAAATTACAATAAGCTCAGTGATACATAAGAACGTATAGCACACACTGCATGTTCAAAATTTTTATTGGGACTCACGCTCTCTTTGAGACCCAATGAATATGTAATGATGTTTTGGTCATAGGCCACTTTTTCTAAGCAGAACCTTTTTCCAGACATACATGATGTGTGTGTGTTTTTTGGGGGGGGCTTTCTGTTGACGCTGAACATATTTAATAGCCACCACACTATAATTCATATTCAATAGACAACCTTCACTCACGACAACAAGAAGGCACACAGGACTTACCTTTAACTTGAGCTCAGCAATCTCTGTCTCATCACAGACTTGCTGGATCAATGCCTGACGCAAAAAAGAATATGCAAGTGAGTCATTGTTCCAGTCAGAATGAAAGGAAGAAATTAGACCTCAAGGTGAAGGAAGCATGAATTGTATTTATAATTGCATTTATGTGAAATAAGAAGGCTTTAGACTTGGAGGGAAAACCTAACCAAGTAAATAAAAAAGAAACCACTGTATGAGTATGTAGAGCATGCAGCACGCAGCATGCAGGTATTTGTTACAATATATGAGATCTACACTGAAACATACAAAGTCACACCACCACAAAAAAGCAAGGGTGCCCATGTTAGAGGTAACAAGTGCAGGTACTTTGCAAATTACATTCTCAGCTGAAGAAAACTACAGTAAGAGAATACAGTGACTTAGGTGGTGTTTGATAATGCAATTCAGCACTTAAAACTGAAGATATTCCACACGTTTTTAATTAAGTCCATTTGATAACTAAGATTGTTATCTTAAAATATTAAGTGCCTCTCAAAAATGGCTAAAAATAGGTTCAAAAATTAAGTAGGTGAATCCTTATGTAATGCTGAATGCTGAATGCTGAAAGCTCTCAGCAACAATAACTTTAAAATCTTTTCAATATGACAATTTTACTTTAATTTGTTTCACCATCCAATTCCATCTATAATAGGTCTTCTCTTCCAAAACCCCAAATCTGCCTCTTCTCCTTCACCGCCTGTGTCAAACAGCCCCAAGCTTCACGCAACCCCTTGTTCCTCCTTTCTTCTTCTTGTAACAAAAACAATCAATCTCAGCAACACAAAAGCACACAGCATCACACATACACGCACAGATTCACAGCATCTCTCAGATTCACACACAGTCACTTTCTCTATGAGTGAGTTATTTTTCAAAAAATGTAATTTTTATTATTATGACCATTGACAGTTTTTTAGGGGTCAGTGACGTCAATCAGTACTAACGTTGTTATTATTTTTGTTAAATGTAGAAAATAATGTGATGATAGTGAGTACAATTTATTGTATGAATTACTTTTAGTGATATGTGATTATTTTTATTAGATAAATATATATTTAACAAAAAATTACGAAGTAAAGAGAAAAGGGTAAAAGTGCACATATTTAGTCATAGACACCTTATTCTTATCAAATAGTTTGATCCAATTCAATACTTAAATTTTAGTACGTATCAAACAATTTTGGATTAAAAAATTCAGCATTCAATCCTTAAAATTCAAAATTCAATTTTCAGCGATTAATTTTTAGTTTGATAAAAGACCACCTTATTTATGATATGAATAAACTATTAGAAAATGGTCATGAGTTCATTTATAACAAAGATCTTCAATAAACAGAAGAAAGAAGTTAAATTATGAATACTCCACGTTTCTAGAAACTATTTTGATTATGCAACAAGCAATGTGGCCCAAAGTAAAGTTTCCTCACTCCTGAGAAAGACAAGTCTGGTTGTATGCTTTCACATTCCAACCATCATTTGGGTTGATCTTTTTTTTTTGGTGGCTAACAAATTAGTCTCACAGATTAATTTCAACTGTGCAACTAAAGTATCATATGTGGCACAATAATAAAAAAAGGAAATCTTGTTTAATGCAAGGGAAAACCGTAAATCAGAAATTTTTGAAGGTATGCTATTCTGCCCAAATGTATCTCTTCATGACAGTTAGTACAGAGTAAAATTTGGAGGCATATATGAAAAGTGGTGGAATCATGGTTAGTGTCTGCATAGGGTCCACCATTGATGCAAAGTCCACAAATAACATATAAAGTCCAGAGGGGATGCACCAAATAAAATGAGCTTCATAGAGATAAATTACCTCAAATCCATTGGGAAATGTCCCATTTCGTGCAGAACTTTTCTCCACTGATCCTTCTGGTTGTCTATCTGATGAAACAGGTCCATTACGATTACCAAATTTGGGGATCAAAAAGCCAGGTAAAATGCTCAGAAATATTATACAGTTATATACTACATACACAAAAATGTATAACCAAGAGTCTGCAGTGAATTTTTAGGATAACCAAGAATTTTCGTGGAACCCAAATTATGAGTACTTGTAGCATCCTGCACCTAGATTGAGAGAGGGAAATAACTCACCATTTGACTTAGCTGTCGAAGCAGTTTCAGATGTCTTTACGCAAGACACCAACACAGGATCTCGTTTTGCCAGCAAAGAAACAAGCTTCCCACCAAATGTCAAGCCTTGTATAGGTGACTCACTTGAGTTGGGCCAGGATGCATTAGACATGGGCGCCATGCCTGGTCTCTGAAGCACAGGCCACACATTGGAAGCAGTGCGTGCAGAACCTGAAATAAATGATAGCATATCACTATATCAGCATGAAATTGCAAAAAAACTTTAAAAACAGTTGCCCTGTTTTTATCTGAGGCAAAAAACAAGGAAAAAAAATTATAAATAAAACATGAAAAAATTGCATAACAGAGATACATATGGAGATCACAAACAAGATATCCTTATAATTTTCAAGCTTACAAGCGGATTGTGACCAGCTAACTATAGACTTTAGACAATAATAAGAAAGGTAATAAGAGATGGTTAAAAGGTGGACATAAAAGAGTATCTCACGTCTACCCTTTTCTGGCACTTTATTTCATGAGGAGATGAGGGAGAGACCCGTGGTAGCAACAGAGTGAAAATTGTGCCGGATAGGATCATAAAAGGGTCTCTGTATTTAAATTAGGCACAATCAACCACTTCAATGATGGATAATATTTTCCAGTCTGAAATTTTGGGATCATTCAAAGGAAGAAAGGTAAATAGATTATATTATATTTGGACAGAAGGTATTATACATTAACCCAGGCATCATGAGCACAACATAAACCACAAAAGAGAGTTTTCTAACCATACCCGAGCTTTACGGAAAATGCTATTTGGACTTAATTTGAAGACCTAATTCAATACAACCATTGAATTGGTAGTGGACTCCATCTAACATTAAAACTCACAACTAATCCAATAGTTACATGGTTTCCCAGATTAGGTCCTCGAATTAGGTCCCTATAGCATTGCTCGAGCTTTATGTATCATGCATCTTTATAGTGTGAAGACAGAGCAGATCATTAGACTTACTAAAGCACACAAATGTAGACCATTAATGCTTTCTACATCTTCAAAATGTGAGCCAAAGACCAGATTAAGATTCAGTTGTTCCTTTGATAATAATAACTAGGTTTCCCTTTGAACGTCCAAAATCATTTTTCCTTTCTTTTCAATGCTCCATTTCCACTTGAGGCACGATAATAGTATACACAGGATCAACACTGATCATCTATTTTGGAGAAGCTAATGGGAAACGAAGCAAACTGAGTTCTAGTATTTCACCACATAATTATGACGCGACAGAAATTTGAAATACTCGTGTTAATGCCAAGTATACTAGCCAGCTTCTAATGTAACTGATAAGCACTCTTTTCTTTAATCTGAGATTAATATTACAGAAGAACAGGAACTAGAATTTTATAGATTAGATAATCATGAAACATAGAAAGATCTATTGCTTGGAATTCCGAAAACTAGAGAAACTTTTTCTTCAATTAGATCAACTGAGCTCACCAGAACACAACAAACACAGAAATTACCCTAGCGCCCCTAAATTTCAATCGGTCCGCATAGCTTGTCAGAACAATATGTGAAACACACACACAGAGGCGAGAGAGAGAGAGAGATCCAGCCAATTAGCACTAATTGGCAGAACAAACACTTAACATGCATACACAACAAACACATTTCACGGCTTATTGAATCTGAAACATGCAACTAAAATGCAAAGGAGAAAAGCCAAATTACGATCCATTAAAGCGACCTCTAAGATAAGATTCTTATATGTGAAAAGCAACAAACCTCAAAAAATGGAAAGCTACAGGACCTCAAATTAGCTATCGCATCACAAAATACAAATATGCGCATACAGAGAGAGAGAGAGAGAGAGTCTTACAGTGGAAGGAGCGGAGAACAGCGGCGGACTCCATGGAATGAGCAAATCAATTGGAATGGAAAAGATTAAAAAATTGTTCTCTCAGAAACCAAATGAGAAGATAAGAGAGAGGAGAGAGAGGAGAGCGGGAGAGGAAATTATAGGTGAAAGAAAATGAGTTGGTTAAGCACAGTTGTAAGTGGGTGTGGCTTTGAAATGTCCGCCCTCTCTCATCAGTTTCTCCACCCACCGCTACATTTTTTTTGTTCAGTTTGCTAACATGCGCCGATATAAATTGATTTTTGTCAACGTGGTTTCGTCACCTGTGCCTCTCTGCCTGCCTAAGGGTAGGGGTGCAACTTAGGTTCGACGAACCGATTTTAATTCGAGCCCAATTCAAAAAAATTAAGATTTTGGTAAGAGTTTTTAATACTTAAGTTGGACTTGAGTTAAAAAATTTCAATCCGAATTTAATTTGGGTTGGACTCGGGTTAAGGACTCTTGAACTCAAGTTCAACCCGAACCCGATAAATTAAAAAAAAAAATTATATATATAAAGTATTAACACTGATTTTTCATTTTTGTTTTATCGTTCTCTATCTCTCTCGTTCTCTCTATCTCTCTCGTTCTCTTTGCCTCTCTCGTTCTCTCAGTGTCTCTTGTTAAAAATTTAGTTAAAGTTATTGATTGTTAATTTAAGTGAATATTATGTAATATATGTATTAGGTTTAAAATAATAAGTCTATTTTGGGCTCTATCCGAATTGAACCCGTAAAGTAACCCGAAATCATCAACCCGAGCCCGCGCTGAATTAAATTCGAACAGTGCTCGGGTTAAGTTCCCCAACTCGATGTAGGGTTAGAGTTAGGGTTAGGGTTGAAAATTATATACCTAGGATTGGGTTAGGGTTGATTGTCTAACTCTCCCAACCCGCCCGAGTTGCACCCCTACCTGAGGGTTGTTCTTCGCTACACGGGGCCGTATATTCTGGTAGACTTATTAAAATCTATCACGATACGATTAATCAGCATGAATTAAGCGGATTTCGGTGAGATTTTAATAGATTTGAATAGTAAACGAGTTGACTTGCTATACATATTTAATAAACAGGTCGTGTTTGAGTGAGACCTGTCAAATCGTTTATCACACATTTATCCATTTTAAAAAAATTAATATAATAATAAATTAATAATTATTTAAAAAAATTAGCTAAAAAAAAAGTCAAGTAGTAGTTCAAAGTCAAAAGGAATGGAGATAGGGAGCACTTCAAAGACAAAGGCAAATCAATGACTTTTGTTTTTGTCCCACATCGATAAATAAGAGGAGATAGGGAGGGCTGACTTGCCTATAAAAGATAGTGGCCTCTTATTTTGTTTTTTAGCTTTCAATTCTAATTTTTATGTGAGATTTTGCTAGAATTTTCTCTTTTTTAAGGTTAGTATAGTTGACAGTGAAAAAGTGGAGTATTAAAATTTGTTGATATAATTTTTTTAAAATAAAACAGATTAAATGAGTCATGTCGTATTACCTGTTTATTAAATGTATCGTATATGGATTTACATGTGTTTTCACTTGTCACTCATTTAACTCGACACGTAACCGTTTAACTTGACACATTTGATACCCCTACTCTCGAGTTTGTTTGCTGGGATTGGAAAAAAATAGTTATGCCAATCTTTTTTGTGTGTAACTTAATTTTAATTTTATCAAATTTTTAGTATAGAAAAAAGTCTTTTGACTTTTTAAAAAATTTGCATGTGATCTCTATGTTAGCAAGAAAGTTAAGAGATTGGTTAGTTATTGATTTTCAGTACCTATTATGCTCTCATCACATGATTTTTAGTCTAAAATATAATTTTTTTTTATTATTATTGAGGTATCAGTTTTGAAATTCAAATTTGTGAATCAAGCAATTTTGACATTATGATGATCTTTTCATCATTTGTATTTTAGTGTACATATCTAACGATATGTGTTTATGAAAAAGAATGTACATTAATGATTTGTGTTTACGGAGAAAAAGGTACATTAACGATTTGTGTTTTATATGTACGTGTCTGACGTTGTGTGTTTTAATATACATGTTTGAGGATATGTAGTTTTAGTGTACCTACGTGACGATTATTGCGTACCTGTTTTTTTTTATATTTTTTTATTGTGTACCTCTTATTTTTTATTTTTTCATTGCGTACCAATTTTTTGGCTCAAAAGTATATTTATATTTTTTAATTGTGTACCTTTTTTTTAGCACAATTGTGTTACAATTTTTGTTTATGAAAAAAAACGTACATTATGATGACATGTAATTTTTTAGAATAGATGTTTAAATTAAGTAATGACATTGTCTTTATTTTTTACAATTGTAAAGAGCGTCTATTATTTTGACTTTTCAATAAGAACCTAATAAAAAAAAAACCAGTGGGTTTTTTTTGAAATCCTATTGCCCTAGGGACCAGCCTCCAAAAAAACAATATTAAGCCCACCTTATCCCTTTTATACATATGTTTGGATATATACTTTGAGCCTAATATTATCACCTAAAAGTAATACCAATCTAAATGAATATTGTTTTTAACATCATCTACAACTTCTTAAATAAACTCACTTTTTTGGTGAGTTTAAATAATCCAATTGAGATGTATTTAGTCAAAAAATATTTTTATCCTAAAAAATTTCTAGAATATAAATATCACTCTTTATATTGAGTATTCTTTGGTAATTTAATGTTTATACCATCATTCAATACTCAATCCAAACAAAGTATTGAATGAGATAAATGTGTGGTCCACTACTTCTTAATATTTGAATCAAACATGGGATGATGAGGCATTATCACTATAATTAGTATAAGGGATGGATGAATAGGTACGGGATGAACATATTTGTTAGATCCAATCCTTCCTAATGTTTAAACCAAACACACCCTATCTGCGTATATATCTATGCACGTGGCTCTTATTCGACCATGGACTTCCAGATGATGATGAACTTTTTTTCGGTAAGTAGATAAAAATTTTGAGGAATATTATTGAAACATAATTTAAAAACTCAATAATTGTGGCAATTAAATTATTTGAGAGTCCAGTTCAAAATATATATATATATATATATATTTGTGAGTCTCAATATTCAATAAAGCCTGCGAATTTAGATCTTTTCTAATATGTTTTCTCTTCTTCAGAATCAAAGAATTTCAAACCAAAAATGTGATATTTTCCAAAAGAAATTCTAAAGGAATTAATGCGTTTCACACCATTATTCAGTTTTCTTTTAAGTTTATATCATTTGTTACCGGAATCGTGGTCGCACCAAAATCATGTCTTCTTTGAGTTATTGTTTGATTTGTAATGGATTTCATCTGAGATCACAATTAATACAATAATGTAGATCTAGTCAATCTCTGCATTTTGGGACGAGAATTAAATCAATGCATCATATCAAACAAACACACCTCAATTTCTGCTAATTCTGAAACTAGAAGAAGTTGACTTTATTCTATGGGTTTTTCATACTTTATACTATGAAATTTTTTACATGGTACTCTTGATGTATCAAAAATATTGTAATATAGTCTTTCTATTAATTTCTGTTATTTTTTTGGTCAAAAGTCAATCTATTGACGTTGACGTAAAAACTAACAGAAAGGTAACAGAAGAGTCACATTATAACACTTTTAATACATTAAAGGTATAATGTAAAAAAATTAATCTTTAAAAGTATAAATTGAGAATCTTAAAATCTTTTAGGGTAAAAAGTGTAATTCGCCCTTGTTATGTAGAAACTTTCTTCTTCCCTATGAAAACGAAAGCTGAAGGGTTTCTCTAAATTCCAACCTCCTAGTCTCAGTATAAAATGTTCTATGTTTATTTGGCCAATATGTCAACCAAATCCACCCTTTAATCTCCCACTCCATCAACTTCCCCATGGCACCTTTGTCCACCTTCCAACACACTGCCTTTCCGTACTCGTCGCCGGCGAAAATAACTCCTCCTTGCCGGGTGAAAGGCCGGTAAACACTTGAGTACCTGTTCAAAAATCACATGTGATAATCTGAAATCGAAATAGAAAAGAAGTGAAAGTATTGTAGAATACTGTAAACAAGTTAGACATAAAAATTTCACTAATATCCAAATTTGAGCGTGGGCGAAATTTGAATCCACGATCTTTAAGGGTCTGTTTGGTATATTTTTTTGGGAGGGGTTTTAATTGACTTGTCTAAATCCGGATTTGACCAAAGATGAGATTTAAAAAAAGGATTTAATATTCAATGTTGTCCATATCCATGTTTGATATGCGCAGGGATATATTACTATTATGATAATTTATTTGTATTTAAACGACTATTGTACCCCTTAACTAATTTAATCAAAACATGGGTATGAATATATGGATGGTATAAATGTCATTTGAATGTGAAACCCCCAAACCCACATATGAAACCCATCTCCCATGAAACCCATGAACAAGGGTTTCATGATTGGGCCAGATTTCAAACGCTAGACTAAATTCATAATTACCAAACATAAGTTTAAGGGGTTTAGTCTCCAACCCATGTTCCAAATCTGCCCCCCAACCCACAAACCAAACAACCCCTAAGTCCAATGGCCGGGTGGTTGGCCATTAAGTCACTAGATGCTCCTCAGTTTTGTTCTCAGTTTTAGATTCTCTACGTAGTGTTGAATTATACATTTAAAAATTAAATTTCTTACATTACATCATCAATTGTATAAAAAATTTAGTAACACAACCCTTCTGTTAATTTTCGGTTAGTTTTTTATTAATACAAAATGAGAATATTAAATCTTTTGGGGTATAAAGTGCAAAAAACCCTTGAAAATTTAAAAAAGTTTATAGGGACAAAAGTGTGATTCACCTTTAAAAAAGAAAAAAAACAGTGCCAACAACAATACCTGTTCTTGAACCAGGCATTGGGGTGAAGCAAAGCAAACTTGGAAGGCTTCGATGAGAAGACCTCTCTCCCATCAGCACTATCGTGAAGAAACCAGTTCAAATTTGCACTGTCTCCATAAACAGATTGCTCGAACTTCCATGGCTTCAAGCTCATCGTCACTGTCTCTCCAGCTGAAACCTTGAGACCCAGGTAGGAATTGGGTGGATCAAATGAACCTTCGATGGTCTTTTCATGGCCGATCTCTATTGATGGGTTCTCCGAAGATTTGCTGACTGATACGCTTAGAACAGAGGTCTGTAGAACTGGGGTTAGTTGCAAAAATATTCTTGAAGGGAAGTGTTTTTCAGATGTTCCAGCTCCTCTCTCTGTCATGAGAGTTTCGTCTACAAGTCTAATAACATCAAACCTGTTCGTTGAGAAGGAAGAGAAATATGAAAAATGGCTTAATGAAGACCACTCTAATTATAAAATTCTGGCTACTAAACCATACGAGCAGCTTGAGTTGGATTCGGTTTATCTTGTTTAACGTTCAAATTAGACAGGTTAAAATACACTTTTAGTCTCTAACGAATGTGTTTATCGTTTATTTGATCTCTCATTGTTTTAATTGTGTCTATTTAATCTCTAAGATTTCTCTACGTAGTCCAATCTCAAATGTCCGTAAAAAAATTGATAATGCCTTTGGTCACGTATCAATCACGCGAGAACAAATAGACATAAGATTAGGAATCATGTGATTGACGCATAATTAGAATTGTCAAAATTTTTTTACGAACGTTTAGAGTTAGACCACTTAGATGTAAATTAAGAACCTTATAAACCAAATAGGCATAATTGGAACATTAAGAATTAAATAGACACTAAACACATATTTTTTAACCTAAAAATATATTTTACGCTATAAGTTATATCTATTCATGGGAATTTCTAAACTTATTGTCCAAACGAGTCAAATCCGAGTAAGTTGAGTCAACTTAGTAAAAAATTAAGTTCGAACACAATCAGTCGAACTTGAGCATACACAAGCACAATAATTTAATTGGAGGATCGATAATTGAGTCGAGTTTTGAGAATTCGTATTGAGTCTGTTGAACTCATTTTTGTAAACGAGTTAAAAAAATTATTTAAATTCAACTTGTTTAAAAAATTAGTCAAGCCCAAAACAAGTCGAACCCGAATAGCTCAACTATTTTATATATAAACGAGCCAAATTTGTGAGTTCGAGCCTAGTATTTAGACTCATTATTTAAGCGAGTTTAAAAAATTATTCACGTT